TGCCTTTACCACTTCCCATGGCAAGGAATTCCATGAGTTAACTATACACTGCATAAAAAAGGACTTTTTCTCGTTAGTTTTAAACCTGTCTTTTTATTAATTTCAGTGGGTGCCCCATAGTTATAGTATTTTGGTGAGTTACGGTTCCCTGTTCACTCTGTCTATACTCTTGATGATTTTATAGACTTCTATTATACCCTGCTCAACCCTTTCCTTTCCAAACTAAAACATTCTAGGCTTTTTAGTCTGTCCTGATATGGCAACTGCTCCATACTCCTGATCATTTTGGTTGCCTTTCTCTGTACCATTTCCAATTCTGCTGCATCCTTTTTGAGTTTGAAGATGAGCACTGTGCACAATATGCAAGTGCATCATAGATTTTGTATAACAGCATGATAATGTTCTGTGTTTTGTTTTCAAGTTTCCTTCTTAATGATGCCCAACATTTTATAGACTTTTTTTTTTGTTGCCACTGCACACAGAGCTGATGTTTTTAGAAAGCTGTCTAAAATGACTCAAAAGTCTCTTTCTTAAGTCATAACAGCTAGTTCAGAACCCAGCACTGAGTACATATATTTGAGGTTATCTTTCCCCAGGTGCATTGCCTTGTCCTTGTTGATGCTGAAGTTGACATCCTGCCATTTTTTGCTTACCTCACTTAGCTTGGTGAGATCTTTCTACAGTTTCTGTCAGTCAGCTTGGGATTTGACTACCTGGAATAATTTCCTATCATTTGCAAACTTGAGAAATTTCACTGTGCACCCCCATTTCCAGATCATTGATGAAAATGTTGAATAAAACTGGGCCCAGCACAGATCCCTGTGGGACCCCACTTTTGACCTCTGGCCATCCTGAAAAGTGACCATTTACTCCTACCCTTTCCTTCCTATCTTTTTAATCAGTTTTCAATCCATAAAAGAAATTTCCCTCCAGTCCCGTAGCCATACAGTTTGTTTTGGTTTTATTTTTGGTTTTTTAAGCCTTTGGTAAGGGACCTTGTCAAAACCTTTTGGAAAGTCCAAATATTATTTGTATAATATATGTCAACTAGACACATTAACTTTGTTCACATGCTTGTTAACACCCTCAGAAAATTCCAGCTGATTGGCAGGAGTTCATTTTAAAAGAGCCGTGCTGATTCTTCCTCCCAGTCAATCATATTTGTACATGACTGATTTTATTCTCTATTATAGATTCTACCAACTTGCCAGGGATGGAAGTGAGATTCACTGGTCTAGTTCCCAGGATCACCTTTAGAGCCCTTTTAGAAGATGGGTGTTACGTTGACAACCCGCCATTCCTCTGGCACAGAGGCCATGTATAGCAGTAGGTTACACACTATTGCCCACAGTTCTATAATTTCACCTTAGAGTTCCTTCAGAACTCTTAGTTGAATGCCATCTGTTTTTTGTGACTTAGTAGTATTTAATTTATCAGTTTGTTCTAAAACTTCTTCTGTTGCCACTTCAATGTGGTCCAGCTCTTCAGACCTATCTGCTAGGAAAGATTGATCTATCATGGAAATTTCTCCAGTGTCTTTCATGGGGAAAACCAACACAAATTCAGTTTAGCTTCTCTGCTGTGTCCGTATGTCTGCGTGCATTTTTTAACACCGTGGTCATCTAGTAGTTCCACCAATTCTCGCACAGGCTTCCTGCTTCTAATGTATTTAAAAAATGTTACTGACTTTAGGATGTTTTGCTAGATGCCCCTCAATCTTTTTTGGCTTGCCTTAATTTGGTTTTACTCTTGACCTGTCAGAATTTGTGAGCTCTTTCCTGTTTCCCTTATTTAGGCATACCTTCCATTATTTTTGAAGGATGCCTTTTTTGCCTTGAATGGCCTTCCTAACTCTGCTATTAAACCTTGTAGGTTTAACCTTTTTGGACCACTTGGGTACCCTCTTTGTTTGTTGTATACACTTTTTCTGAGTCTCTTAATATGGTATTTTTAAACAGATTCTAAGCTGCCTACAAGCCATTTATGCTTTTGACTGCTCCTTTTAATTTTTTTTCTTACCAACTTTGGCACTTTTGTGTACTTCCCCTTCCTAAAGTTGCATATTGGTGTGGTGGATTTTTTTTGGCTTATTCCCTCTCACTAGGATGTTGAATGTGATTTTATTATGGCTGCTATTGCAGAGTGGCTCACCAACGGACACCTCTTGAACTAGGTCCTGTGTGTTACATGGGATTAGGTCTAGAATTGCTTCTTCTCTTGTGAGTTCCAAGATGAGTTGTTCTAGGAAGCAGTCATCACATCCAGAAATTTTATCTCCGCATCTTGCCCTGATGAGGCGTTTACCCAGTCTGTGTGAGGATAATTGAAATCCCATGGCTTTTGTCCCATTTTAGTGGCTTCTCTAATCTTCTTCAGCATTTCATATTTGCCTTCACTTCCTTGTCAGGTGGTCAGTAGTACAGTTGTAATATTATATTATTTTTATTCAAATACAGAATTCCTACGTTTAGGGACTGTATGGTAGTTTTCCTTTCAGATATGATTTTTATGCTGTTACTGTCTACACTCTGTGTAACACCCAGTGCTTGTTATATAACAATGTAACAAACCCAGATAATGTAAATTAAAGGAACAAGATTAACATCTATACATTTACCTAGATTCAACTTTTGGAATCATTTGACATTTGCCTATCAGTTTACCACTTTGACTTTTCTGCAACAATTCTCTTTTGTATAACATGATTGTTTACTACATTTCTGGTTCTACTAGAATGGAAACTTTTAATTTTTACCCATGCACATCTGTCCCTTTCATACAAAGTAGTTAATATATGTAATTGCTGTTAGCTTTGACAAGGCTGTATGTTAACTGTTCCTTTATTACCTTAAAGTTAATATGCTCAGTGGACATCCTGAAAATACTAATAGTTAAACTGTAGACCTAAAGTGGTCTTACATGATGATGCTTTATGTAGTATTGTTATATGAACTTTAGAAACATGTGAATTTGTGGGTTGATTTTATTTATTCTTTCTATTGCTTATTGTATTATGTCACTAGCCATTAACAGTTCTTTTTTACTTTTAATGAATATAAATAAATACAAAACTTGTTTTGCATTTTATTTCAAAATTAGGTGGAAAACTCTGGTGTGCAAACAGCTGAACATAGCTACAAAGAAAAAATATCTAAGCTTTTGGAAACTACCGATAAAGGAAGTGGTAGGTACAAATACTGTAAGAGAGTAGCAATTTGTCAATTTTGCTTTAGAGAAGAGATGATATAGAATTTCTAACAGTGTCAAAATGTCATGTTTTAAAACCAGCAGAAAGAAATACTTAAATATTTTTTTTCTTTTTTAAAGCCAGTTCTTATTTTGAATTTTACATTTACGTATACAATAAAAATGTCTAATTTGAAATTAAATATTTTGATCAGCCTAAAACCTGTTACTTTTTCGGAATTTTGTTTTTAGGGAGAATTTCTCAATTTTCAGATTTCATTTTTAGTTAGAAGAAAATCAAACATCAGAATCCTTCATAAAACTGAATTTCTTTCTGCACCAATCTGCTGTTCACACACCTAGCTAAAACTTAAAATGAAGTTCTTTGGTAGATGAAATAACTTTTCTCACAGATAACTGCATTACTAAGCCCAGTGTGCTAAAACTCCCTTTTCATAAAAGGATATCTCTTATGTTTGGATTCTTTAATATTAAAGTTTTGGTTTATCTACTTTCTCAAATAGCTCTAAATCAAAATCATCTCTACGAAGAGTAATGTACATAATAAAGTGAGTAGGTTCTTGTATGTTTTCATGCCCAAGTGATTTACTGAAACTTGTTCAGTACAGTGAACTTTCATAAGATTATAGGAAAGTAGGGCTGGAGGAGGCATAACAAGATCTAGTCCAGCCTCTGCTCAAGGCTGGATTTTCCCTGACTGAACCATCCCAGCTAGGTGTCTGTCTAGCCTGCTCTTGAACATGTCCAGAGATGGAGATACCAAAACTTCTCTAGGTAACCTGTTCCAGTGCTTGACCACCCCCATAGAAGATTCCTCCTAATCTCCAACCTAAACTTCCTTTGCTGCAGGTTGAAACCATTGTTCTGTCTCTCTATAGTCACAGAGAAAAGCCCATCTCCTCCTTCTCTGTAATTGCCCTTTATAATTGCCCTTCAAGATGTTTGAAAAACTGTTACAGAATTCCCCCTCAGTCTTCTCTTCTCCAAGCTACATAACCCTAGGCCCCTGTTCTAACTCACATGGGGAGGTGGAGAACATCTCCACTTTGGAGCTGATCAAGCAGAGGAGTCTGCCTGCAGCCTCTGTCTCCTAGACTAGTCTTCCCCTCTCCCCCCAGCTCCGGAGCTGTCTGCAGGAAAGGGGGAGTGAGCTGCAGGCTGGGGTTTGCCTGGCCTGAGCTGAAGGGGAGGAGGGAGGGGCCTGGGGGGCTCCAATCCATCTGCCCCTCCCTCTAGCTCAGGCCAGGCAAATCCTAGTCTGCAGCTTGCTCCCCCTGCCTTCTCCCTCTTCCCTTCCTGCAGACAGCTTGAGGGGGGGGCATGGAACTGGGCTGATGCAATTGTGTGAAGGATTGACCCTAGGGAACGGAAGTTCCCTAAAGCACTCCACGTTTGAGCACCTTCATCTTATCCCTTATTAGATGAGGGTTAATTTGTTGTGTGATTGACCACTTTTAAAATACCCTGCAGCCATGCACGTATGTCATGGCACGGCATTAGAGCACTTCCACAAGCCCAATTGCACAACAGATGTAGCTTCTATATGCACCCTAGTTCCTTCAGCCTTTCCTCATAAACCTTGTCAGGTCATTTTTGTTGCCCTGCACTGGACTCTTTCCAGTCTGTCTGTGTCCTTTGTGAAAGTGTAGGGCCCAAAGCAGGATGCAGTACTCCAAGCAAGGCCTCACCAGTACTGATTTTGAGCAGAGGAATCACTTCTTATGATTTGTAAGTGACACTCCCATTAATACAGCCCAGGATGATGTTGGCTCTATTGCAGCTAGAGAATACTGTTGGCTCCTATTTAGCTTATGATGTAGTGCAGTGGTTTTCAACCTGTGGTCCATAGACTCTTGAGGGTTTACAGACTGTCTAAGGGGTCTGTGAAAGATGACTGTGATCAATCAAAAGTATGTGAATACCCACACTTACAATTCAAAGAGGCCCATACCTTTTGCAATGTTTTGGGCATCTGCAAATGAAAAACGGTTGAAAACCACTAGTCTCATGGAAATCTCATCCAGAGCCTTCTCTGCTGTACTGCATCTTACCCATTCATTTCTCAGTCTGTATTTCTGCATGCAATTTATTCTGTCCCAAGCACAAGACTTTAGACTTGTCCTTATTGTATCTCATCTGATTGACTGCAGGCCATTTCTCCAGTTTACGTAGGTTCTGGATCTTAGCCCTGCCCTACAGAGGGTCTGCAACTCCACCCAACTTGTTGTCATCAGTAAATTTGCTATGAATGTACTCAATCCCATCATCTTGATTTAGTAATGAAAAGGTTGAATAACACCAAATCCAAAACAGACCCCTAGCAAACCCCACTTGGTACTTTCTCCCAACTAGACATTGAGCCATTGATGAGCCAGCCACTTATATTATAGTACTTCCATTTAGTCTATATTTTCTTAGCTTGTTAATGAGACTGTTATGGAAGATAGTATCAGAAACCGTACTACAGTCAAGGTATATCACATCCACAGAACCTGTCACCTCATCATGGAAGGAAATCAGATTGGTTAGGCATGATTTGCTCGTCATGAATCCATGCTGGTTGTTCCTGGTCACATTGTTGTCCTTTAAATGCTTCACAGTAGATTCCTTGAGGATCTGCTCCATGATCTTTTCAGGTATTGAGATCAGGCTGGCTGATTTGTAATTCCCCAGGTCCTTGTCATTCCTTTCTTAAGGATGGGTACTGTATTTGCCTCTTCCAATTAGGATCTCACCTGACCTCCATGAGTTCTCAAGGACTATAGCCAGTGGCTCTGAAATTCATAGATTTCATAGACGCTAGGGCTGGAAGGGACCTCGGAAGATCAGCAAGTCCAGCCCCCCGCCTGAAGGGCAGGAAGTCAGCTGGGGTCATAGGATCCTAGCAAGCTAAGCATCCAATTTACTGTTGAAGGTATTCAGTGTAGGTGCTTGAACCACCTCCGATGGCAGGCTATTCCAGACCTTGGGGGCTCAGACAGTAAAAAAATTCTTCCTTATGTCCAGCCTGAAACAGTCTAGCAGTAGTTTATAACCGTTCAACCTCGTCATCCCTTGAGGCGCTCTGGTGAACAAACGTTCCCCCAGATACTGGTGGGTCACCCCTCATAAACTTATAGGTGGTCATCAGATCACCCCTGTGCCTGCGCTCTTCCAGGCTGAAGAGCCCCATGGCTCTCAGCCTGTCATCGTAAGGTCTGTTTTCCTGGCCTCAGATCATGCGCGTGGCTCTTTTCTGGACTCTCTCAAGCTTTTCCACATTCTTTTTGAATTGTGGGGCCCAAAACTGGACGCAGTACTCCAGCTGCGGCCTCACCAAGGCCGAGTACAAGGGGAGAATGACGACCCGGGATTTGCTTGAGAAGCATCTCTGGATGCAAGTGAGCATTTTGGTAGCTTTACTAGCTGCAGCATCACATTGTAGGCTCATGTTCATCTTGTGGTCAATCATGACCCCCAAGTCTCTTTCTTACATCAGCCAATTCCTTCAGTACCCTTGGGTTTATCCCCTCTGGTGCTGCTGGCTGAATAGGTGATTAGGATTCCATGCACAACAAATATGCCAGTGCTAACCACTCTTCCTCATCTTTTTAGTTCTCTTCCATGAGGAATTTAGTGGTACCTAGTGACTATTAACCTTTGGTCCTGGGAATGAAATGATTACAGGTCCACACAGCTATTCCTGCAGGTAGAATTTCCTGGAATTTGCCACACTGCAATAAAGACCAGTAAGGAGTATCACATGCAACACTGGTGTACAATTGATACTAGAGTGACCATAATAAGCACATTTTTGTCTTTAAAATAAGCTTTGCATCCTTTTGCCTTTTTTACAAAATCCAGCAAAAGTATATACAAAGAAAGCTTTCTGATGCTCAGACTTCCATCTTAGCTTTCTTCCAGACTTGTTGTTAGACAAAGGTATTTCCTGCTCTTAGAATAAAAGAACAAAAATTAATTGTCATGTAAACGTTTATATTTATTTCTGTATGCAGATATCTGTGATCACAAATCGTACTCTGTTGATATCCCCAAAGTCTTTTTGTAGTTGCAAAACAAGCACATTACATGTAAGAGCAGAGTTGGGCTTCTCCAGAATTTCAAAACTCAGAGGAACAACTTCTAGAATTTTCACTAGAATCAAGTTTTAAATGTTGAATCCACTTCTGTAACTCTGTCCAGTTGCAGGCAAGATACAGTACCCTTTCCGGGACTGTAATGATTATAACTGAGCAGTTTGCATTGAAAGTGTTTAGAATATCCTAGTGACTGGATAACTTATACATTTGGTTTTTTATATTTCAGTACAGGAATCTTCAGATTTTATGGGCATGATGGAAACAATAAAAATCAAGACTAAAACACAATCACAAGTGGTAAGTATCCTTGTTATATTCACTCCTTACATAACCAGAAAATAGATAACCATTTACTTAAATATCCTAAGTTTCTTGATCCAGCTTTCTAAATCAACATAGGTTATTACAAACATAGGTACTCATGAAGAGTCAATATAGTAGAACCCAGATCATTTGTATCCAGGTGTTTTAACAGCTGGGTTAGTTTGTAGTTGCTTGCTGAATTAAGAATAAATCTCTCAGCTGTTTGCTGAGCTCTTACTTCAGAAGGCACTGTTTTCCCCCCCAGGTGGAGTACAGCCACATAGCTGTTCAGAGAAGTGGCACTCTTTGCAGTAAAAGCTGAAGCAAACAGATAGTTACCTCAGTAGTTCTGTGCAGTTTTTTGCTGCAGCTTTGCAAATTAGATGGCTATATAAATAAACCCTCATCTTCCTCAGGGTATAAGAAACTTAACCCTGCAAAGTATCTAGGTTCTACTGTATCTTTGATTAAGATTGCCTCTTCTGTGGTAAGTCTGACATTAGTTTCTATTTTTAATTGCAGATAGAAATACCTGGTCAGGAAAAAGGAATCAGAATGTCAGAAATGAGAAAAAAACAAGAGGGTGAAACAGGTAGTTGGCATAATTGAAAACATATCTATTTTAATAAACTTTGAGGTCTATTGTTTTATGAAAAGATGTTTATAATACTATGGCTCATGGGCCAATGAGATAATTTAATGGTATTGCTTGGCAAAGCTATATATTACATTTGGCTTTACTTTCCATCCTTGTCATTAGCCTTGAAGATTGCGGATGCTATCACAATTTAGTTCGCAAAAATTTGTAGAAGTATCTGTTTCATCAGTCAATGCTGTCTTATGGAATAATGCTATCAAGTTAGAGACTCTTATTGCATTCTCAGGGTAGGAATCTATCCACCTTTTTTTCCTCTTTTTATTCATCTATAAAGTGCCATGTACATATCTAACCATGTAGAAATGTTATGGGGAGGAACATAACATTAAATGCTATATACAACCTAAAGTCAGAGATTGTAAAAACTTTGGACATCCCATACTTTTCAGATCCTTGTTTGTAGCTCTCATATATCTGAAGAAAATTATAGAAAGATATAGATATGTGAAGGGGAATGGAAGAAAGAGCCCAGTTTAGGCCATGCTGGACCAAACTAACATTTATTTTACTTTTTTTTAATTATTATTATTATTATTATTTTTGGGTGCCATCTTTTTCTCCAGTAGCTCAGTTTTCATTTAAACAGTCACTATTCCGGATGACTGAGAAAAATAACCATGAAAATAATGTGATCAGTGCAGTAATATTTTGTTTGAGTGTACATAAAGTCAAAAACAGTAGCTCAGAGTGATGTATATGCCTCCCATTCATCTTTATGGTCTGCTAACTCAGATGCCCAGTCATGGGAAGTGTTAATGCCAACATCAGTTCACTGCTAAGAAAAGCATATAAGAAAGCAGAGTGTGCAAGGCTGTCTGCCCAGTCCATTGTGATTGGTATTTCTTTTTGGTGTTTGAGTGAATGAAAGGTATGAGCATACCACTCCTTTTTTCCCCTCACTTAATCTGACCAGTGGAACCATATTGGAGAGGAGGAATGTTGCCCAGAAGGGTATGTAGTTCTCATCTACAGTGAGCCCCTCCTACAAAGTCTGGCATAAAATATAAGTACCAGTAGGTGGGGTATTAAACATTCAGCCTGCAGGCCAGCTTCTTGCAGGCTAAATGACCCGCCTGTATATGTGGGATGTGGCCCACAGGACTTTTTGCCACAGCTGTCAAAGCTGCTGCATCGGCTTGTTTGTGGAGCCCAAGGGATGCCACCACTTGCCTTCCCCACCTTACCTACTACTGAAAGTGGGGCTTTCCACTGGTAACTAAAATCAACAGCATCTGAATTGGGAAGAGCTGGGGAGAAAATAGAATATTGGGGTTTGTTTCAGTTTGAGCTCTAGCAGAGGAAGGAATGAGCCTTGATTTGACTTCTAAGTCATGAGAGAGGAAATGAACTGCACTCTATCACCTCCCCCATCCCCAACTGTTTCTGGGCATACCTATGCAATAAGAGTGCTTGTTTTCAGTGTCTTCATGGAACTATCCATCCAAGAATGGTCATTTTCCTTGGTCAGATTGATCAAGCTCCCTCACCGTCCCATTTGGCACTGAGGATATTCTGACAATAAGAAATTAGTATATGACTAGTTGGAAGAGGGACTGTGTTCCATAAAGATTACATTAGAAGAATAAAGAGATGAGAATGGTTTTGGATTAATGATGACTGCTTTTCTTCAGAATATTGAATTTGTCAAATTGATTAATTATAAATATAAATAATAAAGTGTAAATAAATAGCAAATTAGTAAAACAGTAAAATAAAATAGTATTATAGCGTCATCTGGCTGGAGTGTAGTTGTAGCCCACAGTTTGTTACAAGTGTCAAATTTTGATTGTTTGCACTTTTCAAACCTGGGAAAAGAAAATTTGAAGACCTCTTCTATGCTTTCTTGTATTTGATCTTTCCAAGACAAGGAGTGCCATGGTTTTCCTCTTACATTTTTGTAAATCAAGTGCAGCTGCACTGATAACAATTCAATTACACTGATGCAACATTGGTGAGAGAAGAAGACCAGGCCTTGATAAATAACTGAAAAGAGCATTTTAGTTAAACATTTCAACTGTCTTTTGCAGATGACTGTTCAGTTACTCAGGCTTGGGAAGAAGATGAACAAAGTCAGTGCTCCAAAACCAAACCAAAGTCTGTTGAGGTATTTTTATCCATTTTCATAGTTTCATAGTTTCTAGGGTCGGAAGGGACCTGAGAAGATCATCTAGTCCGACCCCGTGCCATGGCAGGAAAGAGTACTGGGGTCAAACGACCCCAGCAAGGTGTTCATCTAACCTCCTCTTAAAAACCCCCAGGGTAGGAGCCTGTACCACCCCCCTTGGCAGTTGGTTCCAGACCCTAGCCGCCCTGACCGTGAAATAGCGCCTTCTGATGTCTAACCTAAATCTACCCTCCACCAGCTTGTGACCGTTGTTCCTGGTCACTCCTGGCTGTGCTCGGGGGAACAGTGACTCCCCCAATGCCTGCTGATTTCC